TCCGATATCGCTTTCCCGCCGAGAAATTTGCATATTTTTTTAAGGCGTCCGTACGCGGCTCCCAGGCGTACGCGCGTGATGATGTTAAAACGGGAGGTTCGCACATGGTTAGGTACATACTCCTGAAGTTTCAGGTTTCTAACATTTTCAGTCCTCGAGTTGAAAGTGGGTGATAAAAAGTGCGAACACACAGACACATATATACACACAGCCCCTTGTCAATACGCGTTGCATTTGCATATATGCAAAAACGCACAAAACGGACAAAGGCGAGGCAAGCAAGCAGGTGTGCGCGAATGTCTAGATCAGGATGAAACTAGCTAATGAGAGGGTAATGTACAAGCAGAAATCTCAAACAATATTCAATACCAGATCGGTTTCGGTCATGATATTCCTTGCGCAGTTCAGTCCTGTCCTATCTCATCCTGTTCTCTTTCATCCCAGCCTATACACCCTAGCATTATAAAAAAATTTCCATCGCCCAATCCTAACTGTGAAAGCCCGAGGCACTCGGAAGCTTTGTCAGCAACACATTTGTAGCTTGTGTTTATTAATGCAGAGCGGAAATCCACCAGATGTGTATCCCATGACATCGTAAGAACATAAGTGATAGAAATAATTATAAGGTTGATGAGGACCATCCATCACCATTAACTAAGAGAGCGAAATGATGCTGCCCGGCTGAGGTGGTGCGGTCAAAAGGCTGTGCAAATATTTGCTGAAGCGTCACTGTCCTAGATCTGTGCCAGTCTGCTGGAGCTCAGTAAGTTCGGAAACGACTGCTGTTGCGAGCCCAGCCGTCATGTTGATCTTGCCAGATTTTCATCAATACTATATTTTCAACGCTCGGAATTGGTTCAAAATAACCTGCAGTTCCATTTCACATGTTTGAAACAAGCGGAAGAGCAAAATGACAGGCAGAAAATGATTAAGTTGAAAATACTTCTTGATCTGTGACCGCAAGCCCAGATTTAGACTGACATTGTGACTTGTAAATTCAGGACCTCTCGCAGCAAAGCCTAGTAAAAACGCACAACCGCGCCGTCGTTTATTCCAATTAATGCAAAGGATACCCGCAGTGAGATTTGCTCGGAGGTCTGTCTTTCGAAATCTTTGGTAACAATTGCACTCGCAATGGCAGGCGTATTTATTGGCGTCTCTTCAGCTGCTAGGAATCGATTCCCGTGGCTATCCACCTGCAATGTACGGCCTTTTGACTCCAAATCGCCACGTTTTCGAATCGAATCGGATACCCGAAATGAGACTTCACTGGCCATTCGAGAGCATTTAATATGAACGCAAATCTGTAGGATTCTAATCGGTGAGCAAAATGAGACTAATTATTCAGAAAACGAGCCATCAGTCAAGCAGATACGGGTGGCGGCGACAAGAAGGATCGGACGGATTAAGCGATGCGCTTCCCTCAGCACGTTGAGGGCAGGGGTGAATGTTTTCTCCGACCCTTCGTGTGCCACACGGATTAGCCACATTCGTTGTATACAAAAGGACTGCGTGGAAACAGTAAGACTACCGTCTGAGTATTCCGGGGAGGAAAGTGAGAGAAGGGATGAGGCCTCACAAACGAACCTCCAGGAATCTGAGGAGAGAGTAGCAACGGATCAAGCTGCCGGTGATGTGGGAGAGTCGTTGCAAGTAGATGAGAATATGCGCCCGAGTGCTTTCCCGGTCATCAGTACGGCACAATTCACTTCTCAGATCCCGCAATCGGCTCTGTGTCCGGTCGAACACACACTCGTGCAGTTGCCGATCAAATTCGCAGAGTTGCTCGATGCTGCGATTGATGTGCCTGAAATACGCTTCCTATAAGCGTTTCTCTTCCCGCCTTCTTAATTAAATCCGTTCATAGTACATCTAAAAAACGCATTTTCAATCACTACTCAGCCAGCTCGTGTCTCCAAAATCTAAGCCTGGAGAGCTCAGATGCTACTGGAATGCAGCTGCGAAGTAAGTGCACGAAACTGCTGTTTTTATGCGTTTTTGCCGTGCAGCGCTAGAGCGCTGCAACAGCCAGCAAAAACGTATATTGCAACGACCCTGTCAGTGTGTGTGTGTGTGTGTGTGTGTGTGTGTGTGTGT